ATCAAAATTTCAATTGCCAGTGGGTTCAATCCGTCGGAATCCGTTAACGTCGCGTACGACCTCACCCGTAATATCGATTGGACAACGTTCAAGACCGCGATAGAGGAAGCCGTGTCGTCGGTAGAAGGGCTTCCACCGTTGGAGGAATATAACTTCCTCTCCAATCTGATCTTGGACAGCGCGCTTCGAGCTCAAACTCGGCCGGTTCCTGGAACGTCTTTGCGTAGGAAACCTCCTTCCCCTTGGTGGGACCACCAATGCACTGAGGTTTATCGTAAAAAGTCCGACGCGTTTAAGCTTTTCCGGAAACGTGGAACACCCGTGTATTTCGAAGCGTACTCGGCTCTTGAACGCGAACTCAAGAGCCTCATCAAAGCCAAGAAACGCGGATACTGGCGGCAATTCGTGGACGGATTATCGCGCGAAACGTCGATGAATACGCTTTGGAACGCGGCGCGAAGGATGCGTAACCGGTCTTCGAACAACGAGAGCGAGGAGTACTCAGATCGTTGGATTCTCAAGTTCGCGCGAAAAGTATGTCCTGATTCCGTGCCGGCACAGATGATTCCTCGCGAAACGACGAATTCTGTAGACGAGATCAGCCAGCCTTTTTCAATGCTGGAACTCTCACTCGCGCTCCTTTCGTGTGGCAATTCGGCTCCGGGGGCTGATAGAATCAAGTTCAACTTGTTGAAGAACCTCCCAGACGTCGCTAAGAGGCGCATGTTGAACTTGTTTTGTCAGTTCCTGGAGCTCAATATTGTTCCGGATGATTGGAGGCAAGTGAGAGTTATAGCCATTAAAAAGCCTGGAAAACCCGCTTCAGATCATAACTCGTATCGTCCCATCGCGATGTTATCGTGCATTCGAAAATTGTTGGAGAAAATGATCCTTTTTCGCTTGGACAAATGGGTTGAGACGAACCACCTACTCTCAGATACTCAATTTGGATTCCGTAGGGGCAAGGGAACGAACGACTGTCTCGCGTTGCTTTCCACAGAAATTCAGTTGGCTTTTGCTAAAAAAGAGCAAATGGCTTCTGTATTCTTGGATATCAAGGGGGCTTTTGATTCAGTATCGGTTGAAGTCCTTTCAGACAAACTCCACGCTTGTGGCCTTTCTCCATTAATAAATAACTTTTTGTACAATTTGCTGTCAGAGAAACATATGAGCTTTTCTCATGGAAACTCTACAGCTTCTCGATTTAGTTACATGGGTCTCCCCCAGGGCTCATGTTTAAGCCCCCTTTTGTATAATTTCTACGTCAGAGAAATTGACAATTGTCTAAGTGACAACTGCACGTTGAGACAACTTGCAAATGACGGCGTAGTGTCTATGACAGGGTCCAAAGGGGTCGACCTGCAAGGACCCTTACAGGATACCTTAGACAATTTGTCTACTTGGGCTATTCAGCTAGGTATCGAATTCTCCACGGAGAAAACTGAGTTGGTCGTTTTTTCTAGGAAGCATAGCCCAGCACAACCGAAGCTTCAACTTTTGGGTAAACCGATCACTCATTCTATGTCCTTCAAATATCTTGGGGTCTGGTTCGATTCAAAATGCACCTGGAGATCCCACATTGAGTATCTGAGACGAAAATGCCAACAAAGGATCAATTTTCTCCGAACAATTACCGGAACGTGGTGGGGAGCCCATCCGCAAGATCTTCTAACGTTGTACCGGACAACGATTTTATCGGTTTTAGAATACGGTAGTTTTTGTTTCCAGTCGGCGGCTAAAACTCACATCATCAAACTGGAACGTATCCAGTATCGTTGTCTTCGTATCGCGTTAGGATGCATGCACTCGACTCATACTATGAGTCTAGAAGTGTTGGCGGGCATGTTGCCACTATCGGATCGGTTCTCGGAATTGTCCCTCAGGCTCCTCACCCTTTGCGAAGTTATGAACCCACTGGTAATCGAAAACTTTGAAAAGCTTCTTGAGCTGAACCCTCAAACTCGTTTTATGTCATTGTACTACGTGTACATAACACAGGATGTCAGCCCTTCACAGCATAATCCTCATCGTGTATGCTTCTCCGACTTCGACAGTTCTGTTCATTTTGATTTATCAATGACGCAAGAGATTCGCGGAATCCCAGAGCATCATCGTTCCATGATTGTTCCGTCAATTTACGCTGCAAAGTTTGGCCAAGTTGATTCCGCAAGATCGTTCTTCACAGATGGATCACTAATAGAGTCGTCCGCTGGTTTTGGTATTTTTAACGAATTTCATAGCGCCTCTCGAATGCTTCAAGCTCCTTGTTCCGTATATGTTGCTGAGCTGGCGGCAATACATTATACGCTAGAAACGATCGCCTCACTTGCACCAGATCATTATTTTATTTTTACGGATAGTCTCAGTTCTGTCGAGGCTATTCGCTCTATGAGGCCGGTAAAGCACTCCTCGTATTTTCTCATGAAAATACGAGAGCTTTTAAGTGCTTTATCTTTAAGATCTTTTGTCATCACCTTTGCATGGGTCCCATCTCATTGCTCGATTCCGGCCAATGAGATGGCTGACTCACTTGCTAAGGTGGGCGCTATGGAAGGCGATATTTACGATCGACAAATCGCTTACGATGAATTTTTCTTCATTTATCGTCAACAGTCACTCGTCAGCTGGCAGAATAAGTGGAGTGAAGGGAGTTTGGGACGATGGCTATATTCGATCATCCCTAAGGTGTCGAAGAGTCCTTGGTTCAAGGGGTTGGATGTGGGTCGAGACTTCATTCGTATGATGTCTCGCCTCATGTCCAATCACTATTCGTTAAACGCTCACTTGTTCCGTGTTGGGCTGAAGGACAACAATCTCTGTGAATGTGGACAAGGTTACCAGGACGCAGATCACATTATTTGGTCTTGTGCTGAGCATCGCGGAGTCAGATCTGAACTGTACGATTCCCTTCGGGCTCGAGGTAGACAACCTAATGTTCCAGTTCGGGATATTTTGGCTAGACGCGATCTGGAGTTTATGAAACTCATATATGTTTACTTTAAGAATATTAACATTAGATTGTAAGTTTTATTAACCTTGTGTTTAGTTTGTATTTTGTACGTGCGGGTTTTTTATGTTTGTTTTCAAGATGAATAGAAATTAGTTCATTTTAGGATTAATTAAAATTTGTATCGTAAACCACATTTCAAACCTCCCTCTCCCTTTTCCCATCCAAAAAAAATTGTAAATCCCCACTAACCTCGAGACAACCGCGAGTATCCGGTCCAGCTCCTGTAACTTTAAATATAAGAAATCAATAATGTATAACAAAAATGATAACTCGGCTCTGTAAAGTTTATTCGATTGAGCCTGTACAAATAAAGTAATTAATAAAAAAAAAAAAATAAGAGATACAGATTTGAGCTATGGACAAAAGTTGTAGCTAATAACAAAATCTACTAAAACTCTATGATGCATGCATTGCGGAATGCTGTTGATGAAAAAAGTTAGAGGCAAATGAATGTAAATGAATGCATGAAATGAATGTAAATGATTTGCCATGCTTGCCTGCTCCTACAGGAAATTAAATTTAAGATTACCTAGCTTCTGTACCTGGGTTAATATATATTCGGTAAAATGCGATGTTTTCTTCAGTCGAGTATCCCTAATAAAAATAACCATAAAAGAGAGCTTAACAACGTGTTTGGGGCATCATCCAAACCATTTGTGGGATAGTTTAACTATCCGGGATACAGTTTTGTTTATTAGGGATTGCAGAAGTCTGCACATAGTAGTCGAAATACGCGTATCTGTCAAGGATAAGCAAAAAAGGTAGTGGAATTAAATGGAAATTACTAATCCTTATCTCTCTCTTTATTTACAAAAATCGTTTATAACTTTTCAAATACAATGCTTCAGCAAAATATACGTCATCCAATCTTATAAAAGTACTTAAAATAAATGATTCGCCAGAAAATAATGCGTAATGTTCATGTTGATGATCAAAAACAAAGTTAATGGTAACCGTAACTTACTTATTTAAAAATTGTCTAAATTGTGAACCGATAGAATATCATTTTCTCCAGTAAAGTTGCTTTAAATTAATTGTTGTGCAGTTTTGTAGAGCATTGTGCCTAATGCTGTCAATTAACAACTGCGGAAGTGCTATAAGAACAATTAGATGAGAGCAACAGCAAAGTTCCAGTTAGGAAGTAATAGTCAAACAATAAGGAGTAAACACTTTTTTAATATTTTATTCTTTATCATCAATGTTTCTTTCCGATTACCTCAACTTCAAGATGTTTCCTTCGGAAACCATTCTAGGGTCACCAGGTGGTCAATCTAGGTCCTGGAAGATATCATAGACGTTCATGAATTTGATACAAAACTCTGAAAATGTTGATGTGTCGCATATCCCATCATGCATCTGTTAAAAATGTGAATCGGCAATTTTTCCCGGAGGCGTCGAAATATAGACGTGATGAAATTTTTCTTGACTGCAATGAAAAAACCACGCTAACGATAAACAAAATTGACTGACATTTCTGTTTTCACCATGCCTAATGTCACGGATACACTTGTATGACAAACTATAAACATGAGCGTTATGTGTATAATAAATTATGAGCACATCCATGGTCACATTGCTGATGATGATTTTTGACAGCAGATAAAATATCAGCGTTAGTGAACCAACACTAGTGTCAACAGGGTATTATTGATACTGTTTGAGTATGTTGGAGCTGATTTTGATTTTTTTAATGCAACTTTCAGATGTTTAATTGGAAATTCTTGAATTGTTTATAGAAAATCAACAATTTTTATTGGGAAAAACACTTGTTTTTGATTGAAACTTTTCAAATTATTGATGATATTTTGATAGTTTTACCGGCGAAAACATTATTTTCCACTATAACTTTCAAAGCTACAAAGCTATTTTAACATAATTTATGGAATACCTATTTTAATTAATTAATTGCACCTTAACAAAAAGGTTTATTGGTAGATTCGGTTCAAACTATGGGAAGGTTACCTCAATAAATCCAAAAAAAATAATTTACCTTTTGAAAGACTTTGCTTCAGGTGCAGCTTCTTCAGCTCATACAGCTGTCGCGGTGTGTAGAGTTTCTGTTTCGCCTCCAGTAGCGGTTGGAACATTTCATCATTCGAATCTTCATCGCTGCCACTTTCAGTCGTCAACATGGAGTTGTTTGAGCTGGAAGAACTATCGTCGCAAACCGAAGATGATAGGGACGAGATTGTTTCCGACGTCGTTGAGGTACTATTCAATGATTCAGGAGTTTTCGGAGCACTGAAATTCGATGCTGTTGACTTTTTCAGTTCCTTCTTGGTTTGTTTCACTGGCACCGCAAATTCTTTGATTGTTGTGAACTGCTCATGAAGAGGCAGGTTAGGATCATACGATTCAACATCCTCTTCAGCAGTTTCATTGTCATAAGAGTTTATTCTCATGTTATCTTTATTTATCATTGCAAACAACTCACTGTTCAAGATTATTGGTACATTACCCTCTATGCGAATATCACCGTCTTGTACAGCAACTTTCCTCGTTTTACGGCTGCTTATATCTTCACCCTGCCCACTTATTCCCAATTGCCTCAGTAATGGAGTTATTTCATTTGCATCTTTATAATTTAACATCTCCTGCGTTGTTGGCATGTATCCCAGAGGTGTCACTTTTTCCTGAATTCCAATGACTTCCGATGCCAACTTCAATTTGTTAATATAATTTACATCCATAATCACTCTTCCTCGTCCTCTGCTTCTCTCGTAGTCGGAAGCTGACAGTGAGTATCTCCAGTCACATACTTCACCGTCGACATTGTCGAAACTCGAATCACGGGACATTTTTATTGAAGTATCTGAAAAGAATAGGAGAAAGTTGGAATTTGTTAGATCTGGTGAAGAAGAAAAAATACATTGAAAGAACTTTTCCTACTGCTGATCATACATAAAGCTCGATTCACTTAATATCTGGACGCAAGAAATCAGCTCTATCTCGAGATTGGTGAAATAAAACAATTGAGCAGTTAAAATAAAGGTTTTTTATTGCACTTGCAGGAAAAAATATCAACAGTCTTACTTCGATTTGGTTTTGATGAAATGACGTACTTTTCTTGAAATACCTCGCATCATCTTTTGGACACTGTTCGTCAACTTGAGCGGCCATTTTATTCCACCATCGCTGCAGCATCTCGAGTCACTTTTTCAATATTTTTCAGCTTCCACTTAACAATTGTCCAATATTTCTCGATTGGGCGAAATTGAGTGCAATTGGGTGGAGTGAAGAATTTTACCTGTATTTTTCGATGAAATCCACTCTGTTGTCACGGTACCATTGAGGTGTCTCTTCGGCAGCTAACCAAATCTGGCCAAAACTTTCCAGGGCCTTTGTGACCTTTGGTAAATGGTGGAATGCGTTTTTTCAGACACTCTTCCTTGTACAGCTTCGAGTTCATAGACTCATTTGTACGCCATCAGAGACTCTTGGGTTTGCTCTATTTTTTTTATTTTTTATTATTCTTTATTTGGGAGATTTTTAGCCGTAGGCTAGTTCATCTTCGATTTGGGTTTGCTCTAATTGTTCTCAATACCTTCCAATTCAGTTGCCGATCGTAAGTTGCACTAAGACGCTTACTGTGATCCTTCCGTTCACGGAAACGTTTTAGGACAGTGTGTGTGTGTGTGTGTGTGTGTGTGTGGGTGTGTACAATCTAACCCCCACTGTCCGGCAGTGTTATTATGGAAGAAAACTGCTTTTTATTAACCTTCAATTAAAGCAGGTTTAGTCCGGGAGTTAGAAGGTGTTAGCTCTATTGAAGCTCCAGTGACCCATTTCAGAATGCCTGGTAATTCACGACCACTCCGAGGTCACTTTTACTTACAATAAGCCCCGCATGTTCACTCTACCTTTATCAAATGGATAATGGTATCATAAACACACTTCCAGATTCAAAAAAGTATTATTTCCAAATCTGGCACGTATATAGTTTTGAAATTTGTTCAACTGTATTAAATCGATTTGAATGGACATTTCTTACCAATTTTGTTTCGAATACCTCTTGATTCATCTGCTGGCAGCACTTACTGCCCCTTACCGGCGACCAACTCGTCTGCCCGCAAAAGCAACAACGCCTAAATCTCAAAGCTCTCCGGACGTCCTCTCGAAAATGCAATCGAGATATGTATAAGAACAATATTCAACTGGAACGTACTCACCAAATCAATACATCCGGGAGCACATTCCCGATGCTTATTTTTTTCTCGCATGCCCGTCGTCGTCGAACGGCAAACAAAAAGGAACTCGGTGAGCAATTTTGTGATACGGAATTTTCACTGAAAATAAACCGCGAATTTACGAATTTCACCACTCCCAACTGCGAAACACGTTTAGAAGCACTTTTGGTACACTTTCGATCAATTTCTTTCGAAAACACAAAAAAAAGTTGCAAGCAGCGAGCCAACATCAACACCGATTGGCCGAACTCATTCACGCACCTTGCAGCGCGTAAATAAACTGAAATTAAAAATTAACACTCGCGATGCCACTAATTTCTGGTCCGGGAGAAAATCAAATAACGCAGATTGCGACATCTCTTCTGATGTTTGCAAACATGTTGAATCACGTTTTCTTTCTCTATTCTAAAACTTCCCGGAAAGCGAGAAAACTACCAATCACACACGTATAAACGTCCGGGAGGCAGAGCGCCAGCGCTAATCCGGCAAATGCAGCCGAAAACTATGAACGCGAACGCACGCACAAAACAGAGAACAAACAACCGTACCCAAAGGCGTTCGAAACTGCAATCCACGCACGGAAACGTTTTAGGACAGTGTAGCCAAATTCAACGATTTCGCAATTTTTTAACCTGCCACGTTGAAAGTACAAAATTAATTTCCTACTTTCGGCTTCTATCTGTCACAACTTTTTTATATTTTAATGAATCGTAACAAAACTTTTTTCCACTGAAAGAAAGCGCCCATTACATATGTCAATATATTGACAAACATCGTATTGTCAATTTTCCTTACAATATAATCAATATATAAATATTGACAACATTAATGACAATACACTAAAGCGTTTGTTACACAGGTCAATATATTGACAATAAATTGACATACTGACAATATTATTGAAAGATAAAATTGATGACGATGGTTTGATGACGAGTATTGTTGAAAACTGATTTTCATTTCACTTTCTCAATATTCTTCCCCTACCCAAGAGGAGGGAGAACGTACGTCATTTAGACCGACTGACTCACAATGCACCTTCACGCATGCAGTGTTGGCATTTTGTTTAAATCTTCGTGTGTGATATAAAATGGATATCAAACTAATTAAAAAAGTATCTTTTTACAGTCGCCAATCACTACCAGGCTTCGTCTATATCGATGTTCATTTTCTACAAAATCACAATCATGTAATTTTGTTTTTTTTTTTACTTTAAAATAAAATAAATACTATCTGCGTTTCACATGCCTATACGTAACGCAAATTCAATAATATATGCAAGTTCTTCCTTTAGGAATGTTTACCAAAACATCAGCATAATAGTTTATTTATGGGAAACTGCATACCATGAACGTGCGTTATTCAACACGAGTGGTAATTCCACGCAGTCGACAATCGATTTCATTCAATTCCATTAATTTGTTATCATGTTGTCCTGTGTATTTTCTGTGTCCTGTCAAAAAGTTACAACATTTGATATTGGCGTTGACGGAACCGTCGAGAAATCATCTCTTCTAACAAACATTGACAGTTTCTTATTGGAACTTTCAGTGGAGTGAAAGGATAGTACCAACTAGAAATACTCAGAGGGTGTGATAGGCGGAGAAAACAAAATACAATACGGCATCAAGGATTTGTTCCTAAATTATCTTGCAACCCTAGCTAGAAGCTAGCATTTCAAATGACTTTTATTTTTGATTCGATTTACATGCAAAATAATAATTGATTGCATCGCAATATTTTGCACATTTCCTGGTGCCATTCATTAACCAACAAAGATCATTTTGTATTGTTTTTGGTTCCAAAACCTAGTTGAATTTGAGAAGCACACAAAACATTAAGGGGATTGAATTTCTGTTCGATTGCAATACTTTCAAATTTATTCTAGAAAGAATAAGAAATCCTCGGAAAAATTCTAATAGGAATGTTCGATTGGCTCAGATTTTGACAGTTCATTTGGCTCAAAACATTCTCTCCGCCCATCTCTTCCTCTCAGTATTTCTAGTACCAACCAATTCAACAATTTTGAAATTTATTACGAAATTGTACGGACCTATTTAAAACCGTTCAATGATAATGTGTCGATTTTATTGATTTCTTACGAGTGATGGTAATTTGAAATTTTACCGACTCAGGTTATCCGAATTCAGTGTGTAGTTAGTATTTTCCACACTCAAAAAATAAATCACATTTCCAATGGAAAATATCCATTAGAATTTCACTTAACTTTCATGTGATCTCATAATTGGGAATCGCCTCACAAAATCACATGAACCTTATGTGTCCAATGAAGTTTATGTGATTTGTCATATACAATTCATGTGATCGTATGAACGTTATTTGAATTTCAGATAAAAATCATTAATTTTGTTATTGGAAAAATATCATGTGCGTTTCCAATGGAAACTATATGAAAACTTTTTTCAGTGCATAGGTCCAGTAACGACGTTTCTCTTTTGACCCGCTGATCCATGTTTCTTGTGTGGGGAAATTAAGACAAGTAATATTGACTTTATTACATTGAGGTTAAAAGGCTTCAACCGTATTGCCATTGATGTTGTCAATATTCGTATATTGATGATATTGATAGAATTGACTGTTTTTTTTTGTCAATATATTCTGAGTATTGACAAAGTGAAATGAAAATCAGCTTTTCGTCAATACTTGTCATCAATCATCATCATCAATATCACCTTTTCAATAATATTGCCAGTATGTCAATTTATTGTCAATATATTGACATGTGTAATGGGCGCTGAAGATAGCTTCCCAAACAATCTGCTGTCAAAACATTCAATAATCGACCAAGAGAACTGCTGTAAAAAAATAAGCAGTGCGTCAAGATTTTTAGTGAATCTAGTTTTAATCAGAATTATATTAATGGACCTACACAAATTTTGACGTGCATTGTAGACAATTATTTAACTTCAAAAAAAAATATCAAAACCAATGAAAATTTATTTTACACACTGAAAAGTTACATAAAAAAATTAATATCGATTTTTTAACTAGGGGAATTTACGTATTCTCGTCAATCTAAGCAGCGTCCGAACTACTATTAGCGATTTCTCAGCGTCACACACATACATGACAGGTTTGTTTGTTGACATTTATCTGCTGCTTGCTGTTCTACCAATTCCAATCGATAGAACTGATCAAAACGGGTTGAACATGTTTTTACAACGCTCCAAACTTCTCAGGTGAGTGTGACTATTGTCGGCAGTCTCTTTTTCTTCGGCACCCTTTCCATTTGAACTGCGTGTTAACCAGCTGTTCTATTATCGGCAACTCGAAATCAGCCGTATTTTGTAGTGTGTATATTTAATTTAAAGTAAAATATGGCATAACAGGATTGCACAGTCGTAAAAATGTAATCAGATTGAAGCTGAAAAGGTAAGGAATCGGCTTAATACATTCAGCGAAGAGTTTTGATGGGAAAATACAGTGAAATTCACGTTTCAATTTCGGTTGCCGAAAACAGTCAATGGGTGCCGAAGCCATAATTTACCCTATATTTTTTAAAAATTAGGAAACATTTTTTTATAGAAAGAAATTCTTTTTATCTATAAGTCGCCCATACACTGGAAGATGGGAACTTTTAGAGCACAAAAAATGTTCTAACAAA